CTCGGGAGGTCTCCGGCCTGGAGACCCTGGGGTGAAGGTTGATCTGATGCGCCGCGTACCGAACCGCAAACGGCCACAAAAAATGGGGGGCAGCCGCATGCATCATGGACGTACGAGCGACGTCCATGACCATGCCAATGCGGCGCTCAGCAATCCCATTTTGCTGTGGAGAGCCCGGAAGCGTAAAGGTCTGGCGGATGCCTCGCGCACGACAGTAGGCTCGCAGAAGGCCAGAGGAGAACTCTCCGCCTCGGTCAGAGTGCAGACGCAGAACAGGAAAGTCTGATCCGAAGCTCCTCCTGAGCTGGAGACGAGCTGCGCGGATCGAGTCGATCAACACCTCAGCGACATCACCCTTGCTGCGCAAGGGGAAGACTGTGGTGTAACGCGAGTAGTCGTCAACCACCAGCAGGAAGTAGCGCTCGTGACCCTGTCCACGGACGCGGGCCGGGCCCCACACGTCCATGTGAAGCGTCTGCAGCGGGGCCTCTGTCGGGGGAAACTGAGAGGAGTGAGGGGCAGCTCGGAGCCGCCCCTCGACACAGGGGACACAGGAAGGACCAGGCCCCGGAGGAAGGGGAGGGAGGGACCGGGGAAGACCAGAGACAAGGACACGGGAAGCCATGCCTCGGAGACGAGGCAGGGAGGGGTGACCAAGACGGTGGTGCCAGAGGAGAGTCTCGTGAGACAGGAGGCGACACGAGCAGGGGGCAGACTCAGGACCAGACCTGGACGCTGCAGCAAACACCTGACCCGACGCAGCTACCTGACCAGACGCAGTGACTGGAGGAGACGCAGTGGTCAGTGTGTACAGGCTCGACCCCGGCCGACGTGTAAACGTGGCCAGGTGTCGGCCTGTCCGAGCGTCCGTGTAGTGGGTCACCCGCTGACTCGCAGGAGTGAACTGGTGAACCCCCGTATCCTGCAGGTCAGCACCACTCACCAAGTTCGTAGAGAACGAGGGGAGGTAAAGACCAGACAAGGTGCCAGAGGGGGCAGCCGGACACGGGAGGACAGTGGAGAAGTGAGAGAGGACAGGACCCCCAGAGGGGTCTGCCAGGGAGACTGCAACTGGCCGACCAAGCGGCGTGAGTGTGGTGCGGTCTCGAAAAAATGAGCGAGAACCCCCTGAGTCAAGTGTGAAGGTGAGGGAGGCCGAAGCCGACGTGGTACCTGAGAGCGCAGACTCACCAGCACCTGAGGGCGCGGACGCACTGGCACCTAGAGCAGCAGCCTCACCAGTACCTAGATTAGGTGTACCAATGCCCAGGTCGGGCGGGAAACACCGGTAACAGTCACCCTCATCACTAATAGTCACAGCATACATGGCAGCAAGGATAGCACCAAAGTCAAGATCAAAGATAGCTACGTCTGCCCTAGACAGCTCTCCCCAGCGGGGGATCTCACTAGCCTCCGGGAACTGCTGATGCCAAGCGTCCGTTAGGTGGCCAAAGAAGCGCTGGGTGGGGTGAGCACCCCCAGACTGCTCACCCGCGCGGTCGCCGGAGCGAACGACGTAGGTGCACGGGCCAAAACCCCCACCACGCTGACGCTACGTGTACCACTCACGGAGCTGCTGAGGAGGGGGGATGTCCCGAGAACGCTGCTGCTGCAGCTGCTGCTCGCGCTGACCACTCTCGGAGCCGCTCCGCTGAGAAGAACCACCCTGACCAGCTCCACCTCCTCCACCACCGCCGCCTCCACCTCCGCCGCCACCGCCGCCTCCGCTCCCACCGCTACCGCCACCGCCGCCTCCGCCTCCGCCGCTGCCACCACCACCTCCACCCCCGCCACCACCCCCACCGCCACCCCCACTCCCCCCGCCGCCTCCACCGCCACCTCCACCACCCCCGCTAGCCCCACCCGCGCCCTTGCCCCCCTTGCCCTTGCCAGAGCGGCGTCTCCCGCTAGGGGCAGACGCCGCATCGACCGACTCAAGACCAACGAGGTCGGTCGCAGCAGCAGAGACGACAGAGGGCAACAGGGGGTAAGGGGAACACCCCTCAAAGATGGGGGTGCGAGGGTCACCACGAGAGGCTCCTACAGCGACTATGCTCTTCTCCGCCGCTAGGAGGGCCTTCTCTAGGAGGTCAACAGTGAGAGTGGTGGGACAGATTGAGAGGAAGTGGTCCCTGACTACACGAAGGGAGTCAGGGAGGCGGGTGACTATATAATAGAGAGTGATGTACTAGGGGGGGGGGGGGGGTTCTTGGCGCAGAACTCAGCAGGAAGCGCGGCGCGGTAGCGAGTGTCACTAGTGCGGAGGTGCGTAATGAGGTCAGCGACTGTGGGAAAGGCAGCAAGGTCAGGAAAGAGGTACGGTAGCATGAGGCGGCTCAGTGCAGCAGTGGCAGGGGAGGAGTAGCGTGCAATGATAGCGTCGTACAAGGTCTGAGCACTCTTTTACTGGCTAAAGTGCGCGCGCTCAGTGGTAGGCAGGTGGCGACGCACAGCAAGACGTGCAGCAGCATCGCGAGTGGCCCACTGGGAGCGAACAGTGGCGTCGGCATCGGCACCAGGGGCAGGGGAAGCACCAGAGGTGAGGTCAAAGAGGGAAAGACCGTCTGCCCTATCGCACTGTAGGAAAAGCTGCAGGTCATCCACCCAAACCTCAAAGTCAATGGCTCGACCCTCAGCGTCAAAAGCGAGAACACTGGGGGTAGCCATGACAACAGTGGACTAGCAGTACCAACTGTAGGACAGGGGCAGTGCAGTGACAGAAGCGCTGCTCTCACCAGGCAGGGCGGGTCGGGCAGCTCAGCGGTACAGCAGCACGGCAACACGGCTGCTCTGACGGCACTGCAGCAACTGCGGCTTCGTGGCACCAGCGGCTCGGCTCCTCAGGCGGCTCGGGCAGCTCAGGCGGCTCGGGTGGCTCGGGCGGCTCGGGCGGCTCGGGCTGGTCGGGCGGCTCGGGCGGCTCAGGAGAGTCGGGCTGCTCGGGCAGCTCGGGCAGGTCGGGCGGCTCGGGAGGCTCGGGCGGTTCGGGCGGCTCGGGCGGCGCGGGCGGTGTAGGGCGGCAGGGCCGCTGGTGCGAGGGGCGGCTGGGCCGCTGAGAAGGGCGGCGAGGCCGCTGCGGAAGGGCGGCAGGGCCGCTGAGTAGGGGGGCGGGGCCGCTGAGCAGGGCGGCGGGGCCGCTGAGGAGAAGGGCGGCGGGGCCGCTGAGGAGAAGGGCGGCGGGGCCGCTGAGTAGGGCGGCGGGGCCGCTGAGGAGAAGTGCGGCGGGGCCGCTGAGTAGGGCGGCGGGGCCGCTGAGGAGAAGGGCGGCGGGGCCGCTGAGTAGGGCGGCGGGGCCGCTGAGGAGAAGGGCGGCTGGGCCGCTGAGTAGGGCGGCGGGGCCGCTGAGTAGGGTGGCGGGGCCGCTGAGGAGAAGGGCGGCGGGGCCGCTGAGTAGGGCGGCGGGGCCGCTGAGGAGAAGGGCGGCGGGGCCGCTGAGTAGGGCGGCGGGGCCGCTGAGCAGGGCGGCGGGGCCGCTGAGGAGAAGGGTGGCGGGGCCGCTGAGTAGGGGCGGGGCCGCAGCGACGGGCGGCGAGGCCGTAGAGACGGGCGGCGGGGCCGCGATGCGGGGCGACGGGGCCGCTGTGACGGGCGGCGGGGCCGCACTAAAGGGCGGCGGGGCCGAAACGAAGGGCGGCGGGGCCGCTAGGGGAAGGGGCCGCTAGGGCGTAGGGGGGCCGCTAGGGCGGCTCGGCGAGGTGAGAGCCCGGAGCGCGACTCGGGCGGAGCGCGCCTCGGGCAGGAGAGAAAAAAAAAATTGAAACTCGATGTGGTGGGCCCTAGGCACAGTTCCCAAGGGGGAACCTGCTCGATACCATGAGAAAAGTAGAACGAGAATGAATGACTAAGGAATGGAAGTGATACAAATATGCAACCCTAGAAATGTGTACCCCATGTGGGCTACCCCACTATACCCTACACAATATTATAATTTGACAGCCCGAGTCTCGCTGCCAGCGTAGCACTAGCTAGCTCGCACGCACCGCATTACCGTTTGCATGTTTCGCGTATAAATGTTCGCTCATGCATTCGCTCACATCTTTGTACTCGTTTTGACACCTTAGTGCAATTCTTGCTACCTCGATTCATTGCACCCGTAACATTGCGTTATCAATGAGGATATATAGAAAACAAAATTGGTAACTCCTATATTATACTGGAGAGCTTGTAGAGCTCTTATAGCGTCATAACTGCATAAAATCTAGCATATTAACACACCTAGTAATATTATAGCTGCTAAATATATATTATATCCTGTACAAATTTGTCAACCAGGATATCATTAAGGATAATGAGTGGTGCATAGTCCTTCTGACGAAATGAATGCCTTAGTTGGGGTGTAGACGAGCCTTTCGTTTTCATTTCGACTCCTCATAAAAGGCGGACAGCTCGTTGGGACCAGTTAACGGCCAACCAATCAAAAGTAGCGGTGCTCCGCCCGCGTTGGCTCATTCGTTGAATTCACAGAACTGATGCTTTCCGCTGGCATGCGTGGAACATCCATATCCACTCCACGCAAGCTCCACCCCAAACTGACCTGTTCCTCGCCCACGTATTGCACGCCGTGCTTTCGCCGAAATGCTTGCAGGCCGACCTGTAACAAGCAACAATGCGCGGCTCGCCGCGACAGGGGTTGCTCTGTCAGCTCTGGGAACTGCGGCATGAGGCCGCATGTCACGAACGAGGAGGAGCGAAGAAAGGTGTAGATTTTTTAGGGTGCGAATTATAAAGCTCCTCCCACTCGCACACCATCTGTCATTCTTTTCCGTGCGGCCTGACATCTCATTTCCGACTGCTTTTACATCCTCACGCGCAACCTCGACGCGAGGTGCCTGTTGAGTCGGCTCATAGGCACCGGCTCTCTCTGTAATACGAGGGCCTCGAGATTGTCTCATCTTGTCATCGCCTTCGTTGACAGTGCGATTCTTTCGTCTGCAGTTTCCAAATCAAGCGTTTTTGCTGGGTGACGAGCGTCTGCATTCATTCCGAAGAGATATTCAAGGATGGCGATCGTTCCCCGGAGCCGTTGGATCTTGCCGAACCAAGCCGATGACGACAACGGCAGGGAGAAAGCCGAAAGGCGGCTTACGATCTCTTTAAGGTGAGCCATTGCAGGCTTTTCCTTTCCTGCAACCCCAAGAAGCACAATTTAAAAAGCTCTCTCCAATGTTCACAATGTTGGGTGAACGCTGCATAGCACCTTATTCGTCTGGTAGGTAACACGTCTTTAATCTCCACTACTACCTCTCTGCCCGCACTTCCAGGCACCTGGTTCCGCATGAGTTTATTCACTCCGTGCCGCGCCCGCTCTCCCTCGAGCCCTGCTCCTCCATCGTCCCTCTGGGCGGCCCGGCGACCGCGGCGGCGGTGACGGCGGCGGCGGAGACGCTGCACCCGCACGGGCACATCGACGAGGAGGTGGTCCACGTGGGGCCCGAGCTCAGCTGGCAGGCGCACGTGCGGAACCGACTTCAGGTAACATTGGACTTTACTATGGCTGACCTAATGTCGTAATCCGTTTTGTTTTGTTTGATTTAGAAAAGTCCCGACGTTGGGGCTGCAAGACGGCGCCAGCTCGCAATGGGCTTTGCTGCTTTGTTGTTCAGGTCAATTACGAGTCTACTTGGTGTTTCCGGTTTCCGCTCGAACTCCTTTTCATTTTGCGCCGCTCCTTCTGCCCCGCTGCGCGCCCCGCTTGGTTCTCCGCAGTACGACCAAATGTGGCGGCAGTCGATCGAGAACCCGACGCGTTTCTGGGGCAACGTGGCGAGCGAGTTCTTCTGGCACAGGAAGTGGGACGCTGGCTCGTCCATCGTGCGCCACAACTTTGACGTGCGCAACGGACCCGTCGCCGTCGAGGTGCGCGCGCGGTCCGCTTTGTCTAGACCATCAATTAAAGTTCAGAGTTTTTTGGCTCATGGAATGTGTGCTGCATCGCTCTCTTTCGGGTAGCGGCACACCGCATTTTCTTTGCGCTCTTCCCGTCGCCTCCTCTCTCGCCCCTTTCCTTCGCTAAAACCCTTTCCTTCCCCGCTCCCCGTCTTCTCTTCGCTCTTCTTCCCTCGCTCCTCCTCCTGCCGTCGTCGCGCCTCCCCGCAACAACGGGGCGGCCAACAGTGGTTCCCGGGCGGCTACACCAACGTGTGCTTCAACGCCGTGGACCGCCACGTGGCGGCGGGGCGCGGGGAGACGACGGCGATGCTGTGGGAGGGCAACGACCCCGGGGACGACGCGAAACTCTCCTTCATCGAGCTGCTCGACCAGATCTGCCAGGTTGGTGCGGGGGAGGGAGAGGGGAGGGAACGCGCGGAGGGGGGGAATGCGCATGGTTGGGCCGCTCATTGAGTCAACGACCCCGGGGACGACGCGAAGCTCTCCTTCAACGAGCTGCTCGACCAGATCTGCCAGGTGCGCGAGGGAGGGGAGGTGGGGGCGCTGATGCGGGGCTGTGTATGGGGGCAAGGCGCGGATGGGGGAAATGGTTGCGGATGGAGGGAGGTGCGCGAGTGGGAATGTGGGCATTGCCAGTTTGATCTGTCCGGTGTTTGTGCTAGGTATGAGACAACGGGTGAACCAATCGAAGCAGTCTTAGCAGCTACTAGAGCGTAACGAATCTGTGCCGGATTTGTGCATAACTCGTGTGTTAATCTCAATTCTTCTCTATCTCTCCTTCCTCTCCTCTTCCCTCCCCAACTCTCTCTCTCGCTCCTCTCGCCCACCAGCTCGCCAACTTCCTGCGCGCAGCAGGGGTGCGCAAGGGAGACACGGTGTGTCTGTACATGCCCATGGTGCCAGAGCTCCCCATCGCCATGCTCGCATGCGCGCGCATCGGCGCCATCCACTCTGTAAGGCTTGCTTCTTCCGCCTCCCGTCCGCCTCCCTTCCGCCTCCCTTCCGCCTCCCTTCCGCCTCCCTTCCCCTTGTTGCTGCCTAAAGCTGTTCGCCCGGAATCGTTTTATGCACGGTGGAGAGAGAGTGAATCAACCACTCAATTTTTCTCTTTGATCAGCTTAACTTTGCCCTCATCAAGCCCCCTCCTCTCTAGCCTCCCTCCCCTCCCCATCCTCGCTCCCCTTCCCTTCCAACCTTTCCGACCCCGGTCTCTCTCGCGTCTTATCTTCTCCCCTTCTCCCCCCTCCGTCCCTCCCCCCCGCGCAGGTGGTGTTCGGGGGATTCTCCGCGGAGTCCCAAGCGGGGCGCATGGTGAACTGCCGCCTCAAGAAGCTGCTCACCCGTTTCCCCTACCGCTCACGTCTCTCATCTCTTCCTCTTCCCCCCCGTCACCCCCCTCCTTTCCCGCAGGTGGTGTTCGGGGGCTTCTCCGCGGAGTCCCTGGCGGGGCGCATGGTGGACTGCCGCCCCAAGGTGCTGCTCACGTGCAGCGCAGTGCGGCGCGGAGACAAGCTGCTGGCGCTGAAGGACATTGCGGACTCGGCCCTGCGCATCTGCGCCGACCGCGAGAATGTGCACATCCGTGAGTGCCGCCTGCTTGCTTGTGCATGC